TAACAGTGGGAAAGTGGGACGTGGGGTGCCCACTGATAGGAAGTATAAGGTTTTTGTATCAGTTTGAACCCTGAGAGTGTGCCAACAGACAACATGAGGTGGTGTGGAGCAACATGCTGTTTTAATAAGCGCCTGGGTGCCCGCAGGCTGAGGCCTAAAATGGCATCAGCACCAAGTGAGGAGGAGGCAAAGGTTTTATAGTCTCCTGTAAACAGGAAGTGTCCTAGTCTGACATAACTGCTACGTTCTTGACCTTCAGGGGTACGTGTCGTCCGGCCGGCTCTTTTCCTGCTTCTGCTGTTTTGCTAGCGCAGGCTGCTGATGCAAGTGGCCTTGCACCTTGGGCTGGGCCTGAGAAGGGAGAAGTTACTCATCCGCTTAAGCTTTCAGGCCCCACGGAGAATCTTACAGGAAGGAATATGATGTATTAATATAAAACATACTTCTGAGATGTTCTTGCTCAAAATGTTCAACCAGAATTCAAGTAAACTTAGAAACTTGACTTCCAGTTTGTAGGAAATCTGGGGGTACAATGTCAACACCACCACAAAGAAACGATTAGACAAATTCAAAAGGTGGAACATGTTATAAGGCAACCAGTCCGATCATTTCAATAGGGTAATGGCATTTATAAAAAGATGCTCTAGGTTAAAAAGGGACGTGAGACGTTAAAGGCGTAAAGGATCCTTTAAAAGCCCGAAGCTTCAAGCCCTAACTGTAGATATTCTGATTCAGTAACAATCAAATGAGTTGCTGGAAGAGAGTGCCTTTGGTCTCCTCTTTGAAATACACTGGAAGGTATATCTAAATTGGAACTCACGCTCTGGCTATTTCTCACAGAAACTCTTGGGTCCATACAAGGGGCGGAAGGCCTGCGGTTCATGAGCTCTCTATTTCTCATAATCTTCCGTTCCAGCTTCCCATCAGAGCCGCCTGTGGGATTTTCAAATACAATGTCTGGACCTCTCTCAAGACCATTTAAATTTGAGCCTCTGGGAAGAACAAATGGGCACTGCTATTTCTTTAAAAAAAAAAAAAAAAAAAAAAAAAAAAAAAAAACTTCTTTACTGATTCTAACTGTGGCTGGATTTGAAAACCAACTAAAGTTTCTTTAAAATTTTAGGCTATGCAGTGCATATTCTAATGATAAGAAGCTAACCTGAATTTTAATGGGAATTCATAGAATTATGCCAGTTATACCGTTCCAACAAATATGACTTATGTTCTAAACTGTTGTGTTTGATTTTTAAAGAAAAAAAAAACAAGACTTTTTTAAAAGCTGTGATTAGAATAATCAGGGAATTAAAAAAGAGGGTAAAAATTAAACTTTACATGTCTGCTGATGTAGAACTAACTAGTACCTACAGTATTTCATCTTTTCACAAAAGGAGATTGTGTAGGTTGCCCCAACCCCTGCAGAGCCTTGGCCTTGACAGATTTGCTTTATAGTGGGGACAGTACAAAGCCAACAACACTGTTTTGTCCTTTCCCAGGATTAATTACAATTTAAAGGAATAGCATGTATAGAAAGAAAAACTTGATTTATGGTGACAACTATAGGATATAGGATAATGGGTAGGAAAGTTATTAAAAACTAAGACACTGAGGGGGAAAATCTGAGCTATGAGTGTCAATTTGGGCCTAGTGGTAGGATGAGGAACCTAAGTGGGGTTCAAGGAAGGAAAGGAAAACTGGCATCTGCTAGCAAGGAAAGTCAAAAAAATCTTTATTTTGAAATGACTGCACTCTTCTACACACCAGAACAATATACAATTGTCCTTATAATAAAAATCTAAAGGAGGGAAAACAGCATGCATTTCCTGATGAGGCCATGGCCTATGTAGTCTTCTCCAGAAAACCAGAGGCAACATTGGTTTTATCACAGCTCATGCTGCTTAGTTTTTGGAGAGGCCGTGTAGCACAGAGGAAGGAAACAAGGATTTTGAATTAGACCAATTGTGTTCAAGTCTTGGCTTTGCTGTTGACCCAGTGGCCTTGAGTATATTACTTAATTTTCGCCTTTTCCATTTGTCAGATGAAATTAACAAAGTCTAAATCCCCCCATTAAATACAAGATTGAGACTGAAATCTCAGTTTTGTAAGCTATAAACTTTGTGTAGTGGTTATTACAGCTATCTACTAGGATATTTCAGTAACTTCTGGATTTCCAGAAAAAGGAAGGATAAAGGTCCAGTATTGATGTTCGATAAAGATTTATTGAATGTACAAAGTATGAATGATTGAACGCAGAACAAAGAGGAAGGAAAGAAGGAAGGGAGAGAGGGAGGGAGGAAGGAAGACATTTTAAAGCATTGCAAATATTCTACTCAAACAAATGATTGTGCATCACAAGTTAATGAGCTCTTCTCTTTGCCATGCACAATGCTGGGTACTATGATTAAAAAGGAGACATGGAACAAAAGGACTCCTAGAAACCTTACTGAGCACTCACTCAAATCTTAGTTTAATATAAGAGGAAACTTAATAATTTAGTTTTCTGTTGACATACTATGAGATATTTAGGTCATTTTAATATCTCTCAATCAGCATAGTGGAATTAAAATTTGCAAAGATGAGGCCGTGATACTAAGGCATCAACTTACGTCTACTTTTCCTTTCAATTAGGATTGTATGGACTCATCCATCTCAGAAAACAAAAGATAAATTATCAGAGACTATACACCGTGAATTTCCACAAACCTGACTTTAAAAATCTCCAGAAAAACGTAATTAAACTCAGGTAATGCCCACCTTCTTCCAGAAGAAAAGCACATATATTATTGCTCCTAGAAAAGAAATATTCAAACAAGCTCAAGAGTAGAATATACGATCAGACAATTTAGAAAATCTGAGGGACGATCCAGCTGAGGTATTAACAGACATACCCTCTCCTTTCATCTGTCAAGAAGTACTTTCTCTTTCCTGGAGTCCTTCCTCTATGATACTAACTCTCTTGTGACCTATGCTGTTAGGTATCTTCCGGGCACACTATTCTGTAACAAGGACCTTTTTGAACTTCAATAACTAGACCTCTTTATGAGGTGCAAAGATACCCCAGGTTATGTTAAACTCAATTCCATAAGTAATAATAGGGTCATGCTATGAAGTTTTGGGATATTTAAACTGATTGACTCAAAAGCTTTGCTTTGGACTAGCAGGCAGGGTATTAATATTAGGAAGAACACAGGATAAGGAATTAGAAAGCCTAAATTTAGGTGGTTGTGTCTTCTGCTGATTAATAACATAATTGGTATGAGGAAGTACCTCTTCTATATCTCAGCTTTCTCCCCTATCAGTGGAATGTGCTACTCTCACCCCTACTCATATCACAGAGTTACCGTTATACAAATAATGAAAATGTGTCAGTAATATATCTTACTATAAGAATGATTAATTCCTTATTATTTATAAGGATTTTACATGTTATCTGTTTTCTCAGTTTCCGTCAGTCCTCTAAATTTCTTGGTAAAAGCACGAGAATTGTCGCTGGTGTGCAAAGAATCATGAGACTACACTGAACCCAGTGTTATCCCTCATTTTCACCACTGGTTTAAAACCATGAAGATGAATCATGCCATGTGGTGCCCATAGATTGCATCCCAATTATCAAAGGATTTGTATTTAACTTCACTTTCATCCATCTGTTTCATACATCTTGAAGCTTATTATTCAACTATTATGTTATTTCCCAATTTACCTATTTGCTACATGTCAATGGCCTTGTCTAGATCTCAGAGTTCCTTTCACTCATTGCTTCAGTTGTTATATCTAAATAGGATATTTTGTGTAGACTCCTAAAAATGTGTGTGTGTGTGTGTGTGTATATATATATATATATATATATATACACACACACACACATATATATAGTCACTCAATTACTGATTTAGCCCTAATTGCCAGACACTTAATAGAATTTGGTGGGTTCACTTCTGGCTTCCATAAAAACTTGGGCACTTTTCAACTACTCCCTCTAGATCTTGGTTTCCCCTTTGTAAAAGACGGGGAAAAAAAGAAAATGAAAAGATATTGCACAATACTTATATTTATAAAATAGTAATGCTGATTGTAAAAGTGACAGAAGAAAATATCACAGCATTAATTCTACAACGAATCCTTTGATCAATAGCAACACATATCCTAAACCAATCTTGTAAATATTGTGGAAAAAAGTCATTAAATTTCAATAATACTCACTCTCTCCCTGGTCTTAAACACTGCTAGTAGAATTATAGATTGGTTGTCTTTTAGAAGCTAATTTGGCAGTATATATCAGAATTACAACTGTGTTTTGCTTATGACCTAGTAATTCTACTTTACACGTACCCAAAGATGTATATATAAAAGTGTTCTTTGTATCATTTATTGAGTTAGAAAAAGGTAAGGGAAAGTACATATTAACTAGTAAATAATTAAAGTGAAAACATTTTATTGAATATGATGAAGGTATGAATATATTGACATGAAAAGATCTTTAAGACTCATTATCAAAGCAAGTCTCTTAATATGTACAATGTAATCTTATTTATGCTGTATATAATTATGTACACACACATGCATACTGGAAGATTAATAGCACACAGAATCATTGACAGTGGTTGCTTCAAGGCTAGGAAAAATGTGAGCAGATAAAAAGATTTTTATGTTTTGTTCTAATCACTTCTCTATATTTTGAATCAGGTATAAAGAGAGAGTATCCCTATATTATATATTTGATAAAAACCTAATGTTTTCACAATAAGTGTTTCACCTTTCTGGAATATGACAAGGAAAGGAAAAGAGATACAATATTTTTAATTCCATGATTCTTTTTTGTGCACTTCGATTTATTTTAGTTTCTAAGTACACAGTACAAAATGTATAACTAGCTGTGTGTAGAACCATAATCCAAATGTCTCAGGCATACTCTTATGTGTTTCATTAAATAAGTATTTTCAAAGTGAACATAAAAATAAAGGAATTAAGAAATGAATTGTAAATATCAGTAACACCATGTGCCTACTAGCTTACTCCAATATCCAAATTCTTTCAAAGTTCATCCACAAGTTCAGCCCCTAAAATTTCTTGGATTCTGTAAGAGACAGAATAAGACTTTGACCACCTATATCGCTCCAGGCTTCTTCACTTTGTGTATCTTTGGTGAAGTCTCATTGATTCTCATTGAGTTTGCCCCACTTCCCATAGTTGTGGCTGTTTGGGAGAACACAAGGGGTAGAAAGTGCCACTCATGTTAATTAACACAGTGACCTCCTATGCTGTCCAGGCCCTGCCGAGCAGCCACAGCCTGGTGGCTCCTCCACAGTGCCTATGCCCCTCCTGGGCTACCATCCACATGGAGGCTGACAACTTCAAACAGCTGACTTCTGCCCTGCCCATAGGCTGCCTTTGCCCTTGGCTCTGCCACCTTCCTCTAGATTTCCAGGATGTACTTGACTTGACCTTCTAAAGCTCTTAAGGGTGTGAGGCATTTGTTTCTCATCTGCCACTGCTGGAAGTTCCTCTCTACCTACTTCTGGATCCCAGAGCTTTCCAGACACTCAGGAAATTCATTCTCTTCTTGTACCCAGTTGTTAATATAAAATAAACCTGAACTCTTTTTGAGTTTTCTAGTTAAAGCCTCACTTACCCTAGCATCATAACATTATCCTTCTAAATCCTAGGAATTCATGCTTCTATTGTGATGATGGCTAACCCAATTCTTGAGGGATCAAGGAAAACTAAGATGAATTGTGCAGATTTCAGATAATCCCAGGTTTATGATTACAGTCTTTCTTGGGACAATTTTTTTTCTGTTCTTACATTGTACCATTGCCAGATGATGATGAGGTTGATGATGATGATGGTGGTGATGGTGGTGGTAAAGATGACCCCTAGTACCTATTGAGCCCTTCCATAGCCCCACCTCTGTGCTCCCACTTCAAACATATAATTTCATTAATCCCCATAACAACCTGCTCACATCAGTATTGTCAATGGTTCCACTTTACTCTTGAGAAACTAAGACTAAGAGATTTAAACAACTTGGCAAAGCAGTTTGATGCCAGAGCCTGCACCCTCAACCACCACTCTGTCCATATTAAGAAGGCTTTAGCTTAAAAGGGATAACATAAATGAGAACTGATTTGGTACTTTAACATTTTTAAGAACAAAGCCATCAAATAGTGAAGGAAGTCATATAATGGTTCGTTTGTGCCATGCCAACATTTGTAAACAAATTGTACTTTAGTTGCAGAAAAGTACATTCACATGCCTTCTTTGAATCAAAACAGGCTATTAAATTCTTTTTTCAGTGAAAAGGAACAGCAGGAAGTAGAGCAAGCAGAAAACATGTTAAAAAATTTTCAGGGAGCCTGGAAAAAGTAGGCAGTGACACTTTGTGACTCTGAGAAAACATGAAGAAAGGAAATCAATATGCTTCTGTTGAAAGAATCGAAACCTTGGAGGCTCACCAAATGCAAGCAGTATGCCATCTTCCACCAGGCCTTGGTGAGGGATTCATTATCTGGCTGGGGAGCATTATTAATGTTAACTGAGGAAGATCTCAGGAACTGAGACAAGCTTGGGCAGTTCACATCCTCCTGATATTTCAGGTACTTATTTACTTTTTCCTTTATCAAGTCAGGCCTATAATGGAAACTTCCCAGGCATTCATCTCTGAGTAACTCTTTGAACTTAGATTGCTGCAGAGAAATGGCTTTGACTGCAGTTTCACAATGACCAACATGAGCACCAGTTAATCAGTTGCCTTGAAAAGAAAATTGGAACAGGTAGAGCTTGAGACTGGCTTACAGACACTGGAGTTGGAATCATTATTCTGAAATAATCTCCTGCAGTTATAAACGAGTACAGACTTTTTTTTCTCCACCAAACAGAACGCTAAGATAATAGTGCTTATTTATCTATTTAATGGAGATGTTGAAAGGTTTATTTAGTTGCTGTTTATAAAGTGTTTGGGAAATGAAAACTGTTATGTAAGTGCTAAATATGATTATTATCCAACCTAGCACTTTTATGTGAACATTCTGTTCTGCTTCCTTCTCTAAGAAGTCTATTTCAGGGCAGTTTACCACCTCCACACAGAGCTTTCAGGAAGGTTTCCACACTGAGAGTCTCTTGAGAAGCCAGAGTCCCTCATCGCTCTAGACAAGATAAAAATTAAGCCACAGATATAATCCACAGATATGTGAAGGCATTCTCACAGTGCTTCATAATTCATAACAGGGGTCTCATTAATCAGAAAAGTATCAGTGGAAAATCAATGGAAAAGTCAAACAGAAAAATGAGTAATACTTTGGGAGATAGAACTCCGTGAGAAGAATCATACAGCCCACATTAGCCATGTCATTGAATCACAAAAGGTAGGTTCCTCCTAGAAAGAAACATGAAAAATTAAAGTCATTTGCGCTTGGAACTCTCCACCCAAAGGTTTTCACTCTTCAATTATTAAGAGGCTTCATAATGACCCTTATTATCCTCACTCATGCTTATTGCAACCTTTCTGTGAGCTACGAAATAATTTCAGAAGCTAGAACACATTTCTAAGACATGGAATCATGTAATTAAAGAGAATCTCCTTTGTTGGGAAATACTTTGGGGTTAGATATACAACCATGGGTTGAGTTCTGAAATCAGGTTTTTTACCTCTTTGAATAAAGAGCATCATAAGAATTCCTTATGGCGGTATGCCCCTCAAATGTCTGCAGTGAAAATAAATTACTTAACATTATGAGGAATCTAATGAGAAGAAATAGGAAGAAATTCAGTAATGGAAAGCTTTTATGAACCTGAGGAAGTATTTCCCACAGTGCCTTTGAATAAGATAGAAACTGTCCCACAAAATGTTGAAGTTTCATCCTTTGAACTGGATGCCCTGGAAATTATATTCTTCGGAACAGTAATGAGACAGTGGAAGAGTGATCCAATTGGTCTTCCTTAACTCTTATTTCTATGAGTTAGTTAGAAAGTCTGGGGGAAAAAAAAACAGCCAGTGCTCCTGTTGCAATTAACATCAGCTGCCTGCAATCAAGCCCAAGCAGCTTGCAGGTGTTTTAGAGACTTTACTGGAACATTTTTAACATTTCAGCATAGCGTGTCAAACCAGGTCGAGGGTTGAAGGAGATCAAAATGAAACAGAGAGTAAACTCTTAGCAGTTGGCTAATATTGCATTCAATTAAACAAATGACAAATGTTCATTAGAAATTCTGGCGATGGGGAGACATACACAAAATAATAAAAATAACCATCATAATTTTGAAAGAATTTTTAGTTGATTTATCGGAGTGGATGTGCATGTGTGTTGTTGGTGTGTGAGAGGGTGTGTTGTCTAACAAGGTTTCCCATAATATTGTTTAAAGTTGTTTTGAGAAAATATATATCATTCCATTATCATTGGCCTTAAAGGTATCTGTGTTTATGGCAGTGGCTTTATGTTCTGCAACTAAATGCACTTGGGCAAGATTTGTGACATAAACATAATGAGCATTTCAGTATAAAAGTTAAGTGGGAACAAAATTTTCAGAAGGTATTAATTAGAAAGAGCTACAATGGCAAAAGGAAGACTGAAGCCAAGGTACTTGACTTGGCCACTTTCTAATAGCTCTCCAGAGTTCTTGCTATAAAAAAATAAGGCATGGTTGAATATGAAAGCATTTCCACTCCCAGATCTTCATTCAATCTTTACATCATTTACAACAGAAATGTCCACTTTCTTGATGAATATGGACTACTTAGAATCAGTATAATATTAAGTCTTTGGTCCCTAAAATTCCTGTTCTCAACAATCAAAAGATATTAGTCTTCCCAAGAAAGTCTGGATACACAGTCAAAGAATTATTTAGAGGCATTGTTTTTTAATTTGCTTTCTACTATAGATTAGACAGTCTAGAATCTGTCACATTTCATGTTAATTTAGAGATTTTTGTCTGCAGAGATGCAAATAATTTAGGCAGGTAGAGAAGATAATCCCAAATGATATTGTTTCATTGCCCAGTAGGACATTAACCAATTTTTCTTTTATTTTAGCAAACACTTTCAGTATGCCTTCATTTTAGCAAACACTTTCAGTATGCTTTTCCTGATGAACTATATATACTTTGCTTCTCAAGTGCTTTTTGAATCAGCTTTCTCATAATGCTGTTTCACTCAATAAGTTAAATTTTTGAGTATATGTATTTAATATTTATATAAGATTCGTATTTTTCACTTTTTAGAAATTATACATGGACATTTTTGGAGGAATTTCCACTGACATGCCCAAATGGATTCAACTGCCAGGGCCAGTCAAAGCTGATTTTCTGAGAAATGCACCTATGGGCTGTTTAATCCTAGGGAGGTCTTCTTTTGGTCCTAGGAGTAAATCCCAAGCAATGCTAGGGCTTTACCCTTACTGATTCTTAATTTTGTTGTTGCCTTCCCCTTACTCCTAATTCTGTGGAGTTTTCTTTGTTAGTTTGTTTAATTTCTTTTTTTTTTTTGGCTTTTGGTAAGGTCTGTTAGTCTGTCCATACCTAATTGAGTTTGTTAGTCGTTTTCATTTGTATACCTGTCTATCTGTGAACTGAAAGTAAATTTAAAAAATAATTTCCTAACCACTGGAGAGTGAAACTTTTCTTTGCAATCTGAACCGATGGGTTTTGTTCTCTATAATTAACTTGACCTCCTGCTGAAGATGCACGGTGAAAGTTGCTTCCTTTCTGTGCATCTAAGTGTCTGTCACAGAACAACACCATACTCCTTCTTGTGTAAATGTGAAATATTTCCTTACCTCTGAAGAGCACTAATAAATTTAGTTATAAATTCTCGCAAAATAAAGGATATCTGTTTTAAGTGTTAGCATTAATTAATATTTCCAGAATCCCAAGAAAATAAGAAAACTGAAGTTATAATATCTTAAATGTGCCAGACCTTAAAGGAAATAATATTTCTTTCATAGAAAATAAAAGCTCAGAAGCATTTTCATAAGAAGTTAGTCCATCTAATCAAGCTGACTCTTTAGACTGGTTTGTAATATTGGTTTAAAAATAGCTAAAAATGTGGCACATAATGCAAGTATACATTTCATTTCTTAATAACTTTTTGAAAAATGTTGTAACATTTTAAAATTGTGCATCTTTTTCCATGAAAAGACTATAATTATGAATGTCTTAAAGTTCTTATACTTATTTAGTTCTAAGATAAGCTGATAGTCTTTCTGTAAAACATTTAAATTAACAAAATGTAAAATGATATGTTTAATTAAGTGATAGTCCTGACATTTTTACATTAACATCACGTGTGTTCTAAACTGTATCTAATTAAATATTATTTCCAAAAACCTTAGTTAACTTGAACCCTTTATATAACGTGAAATTGGGTGGGTAAATAATCTTTGGACATCTGAATAACTTTCTAAGTAAGATACAATACTGAAAGAGAGATCTGGAGAGCTTCTAAATAAGACAGAGTAATACAAGAGTGTATATGATTCATGAATTGTATTTTTGCTTTACAAGGCATAAAGAGAGTAGTTTTGTCATATATTAAGAATCAGATTCTTCCAATATGAAATTATTATAAAAAACAAAATGAGTTTTTACAGCAAGTTACAAAAGTTTTGAAAACAGTGAATCTTATTTGTGTTTGTTTCTAACAATTGAAAAGTATTATAGGAAATATAAAATATGTCAAAATGTTGCAAATTTGACTCACTTTGATTAGTTTTTTATAGTTTATCATTCCTTTACTGCCAAATATTATATTAATGCAAATTAGAATGTTTTCTCTATGTTAAAATGACAAATGGTCTTGAAGTATTTAGTAATCTCTAAAGAGATAGTAAAAGATTAGTCTTTACATTCTGCATCGTCCACGCAGATAGCAGATTCTCTATCTCACTAGATTAATTTCCTGTGCTATGTACAGAATTTTATGTCCATGAATTAAAAGATGAAAAAAAGAGAAGGACTTAATTTCTTCACTTCTGAAAGAGCTAAGTTTCCTTCTAATTGTTTTACATTCTAAGTTTATTTCAAATATTTCAGTGTTACTTTGATGAGCTGGTAATCTAGCTAATAGTCTCCAGACCTATGCCTGTATCTTTGTCAAGAGACCAAATACCTTTTGATAAATCTTTTAATTTTGCCTTATCAAGATCAAACTCCATATTTATGAAATGTGTATGTGTGTTAAATATCTTTTACATGTAAAACTAGATTTCAGTCAATACTAAAATAATTTCTTATTTTACATTATATCAAGAGAGATGTTAAAACTAACTCAGTTTCCTTAATTAGTATGTCCCCTGTTTCTTAGCTGTTCCAGCAAGTATAAGAGCTGCATGCTAAGAGTTTACCAAATAAAAGGAAAAGCTCAGCCTACTCCAAACTAATTCTATGTAGGCAACATACAGCAAGTACAAATATTTTGAAGATTATAAATATCATAGATTTGTCATGCCCTTGCTGGCGTTGGCACGTTTTTACCCTCAGAGGAAACATTGATCTGAATCTTATAACTCAGTAGAGAATTTCACTCTCCTCTGTTCTCATATTGTTGATTACCATAATAAACTAACCACATCCATTTGGGCTTGATAACTGAAGGTTTTGTTATAAGCCACAGGCTAGAAATCAAGCTTTTAACAAAGAAGAACAGTCTACATGCTTCAGTTAAAAGAACTCTATAAGGCGCTTTTGACTATTGATATTTTGACAAATAAACTGATGGGAACAGGCTTTCAAGCTTGAGCTAGTATCACTTAGATAACTCTCAGATAGTCCAAGGGATTGAGTCAAGATTTCCAGGACCCATTTTCATTCAGAAGCAGACGACTTCATGGAAGCTTACTGCTAACCTCAAACCCAAAAGATCAAACTTTCACTTACATAGTAAAGAATGGAATGGATGAGAGAAATCTAGTTGTGCTTATTTTTTTTTTTTTTAGAATGTTGATGGTATTAGCTGTGTTCAGTTGTCCTATTTAAAAGAAAAAGTTGTTTCTTCTCATTTGAATATCTCTCTAATCCCTATTTTGTGAATGATATCTCATGCTCTCAGACTCTGAATTTATATATTTTATATATTTTTAAAATTTATTCATAAAGACATATTATTTGTATATTCATATATATGAATTTATACACATATACATATATATTTAAATTCATATGTATGTATTCTGAGTCTCTTTATTTTCTTGGAAATGTACTTATTTGCCAGAATTTGATCTCCTTTTAACCAGGATATAATTGGACAAATTGATGCTGCAATTGAGGCTACACCTGAGGTAATGTATTGGAGAATAAATCTCATTGTAATTAGATATGACAAACACATCATTAAGGAATATGGATTGTATTTCATATGTGGAACTGATGCTCACAAAACCTTCCCTGGAAACTGGAACAATATCTGCTCTGTCTTAAAGGGTCTCGGCTTTTATGGACAGGCAGAATGTAATCTGATTTGGCAAACTCTGAGGAGAAAGGAATTCTCCCAAACTTATAGGAAATGCAGGTGCAACCCGTAGATATGAATGTTTCAGGTTTGCATTTGGTTTCCTAGCCTTGGAATAGAAAATCCAATAGAAGCAATATTTTTTAAAAATCCTCAAGGACAATAGATATTATTGAAAACGCAATCTGAGATTCCTTATGAATTTTGCAGTCCAACTTAATTCTCTGGACTCTGTTCTTGCTCCACCCTGTGAGCCTCTGAATTTGCTGACCATTAGCAAGGAGGTTAATATGGTTAGTTAACACCCCTTGCTGCACATCTATAACTTAATTCATCAAAACAAGAATAAGAGCAGCATTTTTTGTCAACAAAAATAATCTTTCAAAGTTATTTATGATCACTGGAAGAACTATTTAAAAAACTTACACCAAACTTGAGACAAGGCAAAAGAACGACTACATGTTCTCTTAGTGTCAAATTTTAACACTGGCACTTCTAAGCAATGCTTAATTCTCTAGGGGACTTACCTTTATCTAGTTTGCTTTTCACCATTGATTAGAGCCTAAAGTCCAGGAGGTTACATGTTAACTCATAGTTTTCTTCCTGTAGAGATACAAGTAATATCTGTGCTATAGAGAAGAAAACTCCAAACACTAAACACTGTAAGACTTAACCAGCTTTGTCCTTAACTTAGTCAACTATTTCAGTATGCTTTACCTGAGTGCATTTATAAACCTTTGGTCCTCAAATGCTTATTGGATTTACCATTCTTCTGGTTCTATCATTAATGAGTTAGATTTTGATGTATGTTCATTCTATATGAATTTCGTGAGAATAATTTTATATGAGAATCATTCGATGTATATGTTGGCCGTGCTTTTTAACTTTATAACATAATACTTTGATATCTGCCAGTCGTTACTGGAGGAAAATAAAGAGCTCAAGTAAGCATCATTTCTCAGAATAATTCATCTAAACTTCTTATCTCCTGAAGATATATACAAGCCTTTTTTGGTTCTAGATTAGCTTAAAAAATTTAGTACCACTACAGATAACTCCTTTAAGATGATTTAAAATCATACTTTATCTCCAATGTCCTGATTATGTCCTTTAATTCACTAAAATATGCACATACTTCTTTATTCTGTGTAAAAATGGAATAGGAATATGATAAAGAAATGAGGGCAAATCATTGTCTTAGATGTTATATCAATGTAATTATTACAAGAGAGCTGATTCAAGAGTTTTTAATGGGTACTGGGATTTATTCAATAAAGTTTATTACTCAGCCCAAAACTCTTACAAAGATAAAATGTCAAGTTTCCGTCTCCCCTAGAAGGAGTGATGATGACTTCAATGGCCTAAATGAGATAAATCTTTCATTTAGGTTATGTTTTGGGGACTTTCCTGACCCATAATTTATTTTCCCTCGTGTCCAACTCACACATTTATATGAAAGGAACTCAGGTTAATGTATTTCAGAAGGACTATTTTAATCGAGTTCAGATTTGAAAGAGAGCATTTTCTAACAACAAACAAAGAAAGAACAAAGCACAAGTCCATTTTATTCCACTACTATTCAGCAAAAACAGCAGGAGACATCATATAGCGGACTGGCTTGGCTAGCATACATTTGGCTTCATAATAGTTTCTGAAACTGTTCATGAATAAATACGATTGAAAGAAAACCTTGCTTGACTTAGAACCAGATGTTAATACTTGATGTAGACTCAGCTCTGGATCTAAAGTTTTTATATATTTACCTTTATATTTCTAGTTTCAAATAACTCTCATATCAACTCCTTTAATCATACATTTGAAAAGAATAAAAGCAACAGCAGATAAAGAAGGACTCCAGGGAGAGTAGACTATGTGTGATAGCTAGGCAAGGGATTCCTGCCGGCACTAAATCAGACATCCCAGATTTAGTAAAGTGGACTTCGTGAATTGGCAATCATCTATCTCATCACAGCAGAATCTTGAGCAAGAAGAGGTCATGACTAACCTCTAGACATACTGGAATTCCTTACAGTTCAGGAAATAAGGCTCACTCCCATTGTTTCCTGCAGCTGGTCATTTCCTAACCACTTACCCAGAGCTTCAAATACGAATTATTTCAGGGGCTATATGACATAAACATGTAGAACACTCAGCTACAAGGCAAAGGGAAGGTGACTGCATGTCAAGCCTGCAGGTTTTATATTCAAACATAAAATCATTAACCAGCTGCAGGTTAAATTTGGCTCTCATCCACCCCTTCCTGAGGCCTGACCTTGGGTTGAAGAGCTTAATTTTCTGATTAGTAAATAAAAAGTATGAGTAAGAACTAAGTTACCAAACAGGTCAATAAGACATCCCTACTTAATCAATGCATAATTGAGCATTTATTGCAAAATGGAGACGATACAACAATGCAGAAAATAATTAACATTTGTCTCAAGCTTAATATGTTATAGAACATTGTGTGCATTATCACATTTAATATAATACAGTAGGGTTATTTTACTTTACTGCTGTTGTATTTTTTTTTCTATTTCTACTAATAATGGAACTTCTGCTACTACTAATCCAGTTGCTATGATTATGACTATAACCACAGAAAGTGCCCTATTTTCATACCACGTTAAAATCCCTAAATATGTCAGACATTGGAAATGACAATTACATGAAGGAAATAAATTTATTCAAGATGCATGATGAACCTGCAACATGATGCACGTTGTTGATGTAATGATTGAAGCTATTTATCCACCACTTATATATAGCTATTAATTCTGTCATTTTACTTCAAATTAGACTCACATCAGCATACTTTGTGTGTCCAATGGAGACTAAAAAGTCAGCCTTTCAGCCTACCTACTTCTCTTCCTTGTGTCTAGTTCCATTAGGTTTGAGACTGAGTCTTATTTTCACGTTATCACTTTCTTACTTCAAAACATATTGTTAAATGGAAAACAAAATATTCACATAATTATGCAAACCCTACAGTCTTAGTCAGTTTGGGTTACCATAACAAATACCATAGGCCAGGTGGCTTAAACCACAGACATTTATTTCTCAAAGCTCTGGAGGCCGGAATGTCCAAAACAAAGTGCCAGAAGATTCAGTGTCTGAAAAGGGCCCTCTTCCTGATTTACAGATGATAGTCTTTTCAAGATGTCCTCACACAGAGGACAGAAAGAAAGGTAAGATTTTTTGTATCTCATCTTATAAGGGCACACATTCTGTCTTGAGAGCTTCGCTCTCGTGATTAATCACCTCCAAAAGGTTCCACCTCCAAATACCATCACCTTGCAGATTAGGGATTTAATATATGAATTTTGCCAGGGACACAAACATTCAGTCCACAGTACCTACTGTAAAAAAAGATGGTGAAATGCCCCAATTGAACACCTGAATTGCAGGCAGTGTCACTAGAGAATAGCTTCAAATATTTATTGGTCTTCTGGTGTAAGAAAGTCAGAGATGTGTTTTAGAAAACGTGTTCAGAGGTCCCCATGTATTATGTACAAAAGTGCAAATTACTTGAAAGTCAAATATATAAAAATCAGGTATTATTACATTTGAAGATAAGGAAATAGGCTCAGAAATGTGGGGTTGGTTTGGTTTGTAATCACATCTGGACTGGGATTTCCTGGAGCATTTTTGTTTTATTGTGACAACTGATATTGGATTGTTGATTTTTAATTTTGTCAAAAAAGTACATATAATCATACAGACATATACACATACATATGTAATACGTATATAATATGTATATAACACATACATATATAATCATACACACATATACACATATAATCATACATATACACATACATATATAATACGGCAATCATGTACACATATACATATACATATATAATATGTATGATATGAACATTAAATCATTATTATATATGTATATAATAATACATATTACATACATATATAGCATGACTCTGCCCTCACCCAAATCTCATGTTAAGTTGTAATCCCCAGTGTTGGAGTTGGGTCTGGTGGGAGGTGACTGGATCGTGGGGCTGGTTTCTAATGGTTTTTCGCCATCCCCCAGTGCATTCTAGTGATTAAATTCTCACAAGATCTGGTTGTTCAAGGATCCTCCTTTGCTCTCTCTTCCTCCTGCTCCAGTCATGTAGGACATGCTGGCTCCCCGCTCCCCTTCTGCATGACTGTAAGTTTCCTGAGGCCTCCCTGAGCCATGCTTCCTATATAGCTTTCACAACCATAAGCCAATTAAACCCTTTTTCTTTATAAGTTACCCAGTCTTGGTAGTTTTTTTCATAGCAATGTCAGAACAGACTAATACAATATACAAACAAAATTACTCTCCTTTCATAAAAGAAAGGGTGTTTTAACTCCATAACTATAAGGAATGGTATTATTCAGAGAAACATGTAACATAAACAAGAACACATTTGCAGTGAACTGAATTGGGTCTCAAAGATATATATCCAAGTCTTACCACCAGAATCTCAGAAGGGGACCTTATTTGGCATACGAGTCTTTACAGATATAGGTAAGGATCTTGAGATGAGAGACCCTAGATTAGTGTGAGGGCCCTAAATCCAATGGTAGCTCCTAATAGAAAACAGAAATGGAAAGACACTGGGGAGAAGGCCATGAGAAAACAAGGCAGAGACTAGAATAATGCAGCCACCAACCAGGGACTCCCGGAGCCACTGGAAGCTGGGAGAGGGAGTAAGAGATTCTCCTTTTGAGCCTTCAGGAGGAGTGCTGCCCTGCCGGTTCCTTGATTTAGGATTTCCGGTCCCCAGAACTTTGAGAGAATAATTTTTCTGTTGTTTTAAGCCACCCAGTTTGTAGTAATTTGTTGCAGTAGCCCTGGGATACTAATGCAATATTCAACTGCAAAACACAAACACACACACACACACACACACACACACATTATCATTCTCCTTTTTCTAATTCTTCCATAGTCATCTATTTTGTCTGGTGTTGATAGATACTCTTATATCCACCAGGTTTGTTGATTCTGAACCTTATAGCCTTCCATATTTCATATTCCACATTTCAGTATATAGTTCAGTAAAGGAGGGAAAAAAAGGCTTACAAGTTACAAAGTTTTGTGGACATTTTTAAGCTAATTGCACGTGCATAAAGGTAAAAAATCCAAAATCCCTATCTTATGAAATGCTTGGGAGGACAGAAGCTGAGAGTGCATTCATTGGTGAACCTCAGGCTGTGTGTGGGTGTAGGGGAAAGAACAACTTTTCCTTGTTTTCAGAGATGATCTTTTTCAGTAACTGTTGTAAATAACTTTATGATGGTTTTAGAACCTTGTTAAGTTAAATGCATTGGTAAAACTTACAATGGAGTAAACTTACATTTTGTAATTTCAACCCTTATAACAGGACACATCTGTATCAGGAAGCAGCCATGAATTTGGTCCCATTATGAGAGCTGAGGGACTATTCGACATAGATTGAGAGTAACAGAAGACATGGTTTGGAAGGGCAGTGAGCCGGGGTGAACAGAGGTGGTGCTGCAACTGTGAAAGTCACTTCTAATTGGAAAAAGACAACTACTGGGAGGAATCTTGCTAGCACACACACTAATTTCATTTGAGCTTTCTCTCTCTTCCTCTTTCTATCTCCTCTCCTTTTCTCCATCTCTGTGTCCTTCAGATATCTTTTTGGCTACTTTTTCAATTGAAAGATTTGGGAAGCTGTATTTTTGATGATGACACAAAGAAAGCAACTTAGTATTTCTCCTCTGATGAATTTCTAAACAAATGGAAGGGTTGTATAGTGTAGGAAAGAGTTTTAGGAAAATGTTGGGCAGAGATTCTGAGCCAATAAGGTATCAAGTTTAAAATGAAATATTCAAGGTGGTTAAGAAAGTGCTGGATAAGACAGAAGGCTGCGGAGCTTACCTGTGGAGATTTGAATCTTGGTTCTGCTATGTCCAGCTGTGTAACCTTTGGCATGTTGCATAAATCTCTGAACCTCACCTGTAAAGTGAGCACAGTAATGGTAGCCATAAGGAAAGATGATATGAACATTAAATCAGTTACTACATGCTTACAATGGTGACAGGCATATGGCAAGTGCTAACTGAATGTTAATTAGTTCCCAGATCTGGACAGAGCCTTGGGATTTGTTTCAGCAGTGATTATTAATAGTTTGGATTGAGAAAACAAAGATTACAATTGAATTAGGAGTTTATAATTTTAAAATCAGGCACAATTCTGTATATTCTTTAATGTGGTTAAGAAGATTCATTAACCCTTATGTTTGTTTTATTTAAATGCTTATATTTGTACAAATAAAACTTGCATAACAGAAAACATGGTACGTATCCTCTCCTTTTCTTCTCTTTCTTATTAAGTCACATAAATGGATATCTTATTTTCAGATCATGAAATATTCCCAAAGCACTAGTGTGGAAATATATCTCAGAGAGAATAAATCACTTATTTAGAACATTAAAGACCCCAAAACACGATGGAAGTATTTTAACAACAGATTATGATTCCGGGTCAGATGTGTGGCTGAGAGAAAAGTCCAGGTTAAATTGATAATCCTTCTCATGCCAAGCATCTAGAGCATTTCTGGCCGTCACCTCAAGTGTCTGAAGCTGTTTTCCTCCCAGCTCTCTTGGTTTGAAGTTGGATTAAAGCCTGATTTGAGTGGCCTGCCAGCCTGATCCATGAAATACAGATGGCTTTCCCCATGCACAGTCATGCTGGGACATCAGGCACAAATTCAATCAATATTGAAAGATCCTCTTGGGCTATAGTCATCTTTGTCATGGTTCTATTAATTATTTTTACCAGAATGTCTCTTCTCTTGTGCTTTCAAAGACCCCATTTTAGCTTCCAACACACAGCAGGCTTTTTATGGAGCTGTGATCCTATCCTAGTTGGTGCGTTTTTGTTACAATAAACATAGCTCTGGTTGGTGGATGGGAAATTTTCCAGAACTTTCTTATAAATGACCTCTGCTGTCACTTGATATCAAGTAGGTGTCTTGGGTGGCAGAGATAAAACCACGTGTGAGTCAAGGTGGATGCGGAGAGGGTCCAAGTCTGACCTCACCAAAAGGTGCTCATTGAACATCATTGATTTGTAGTACTTTCAGTCTGACTTGGAACTTTGTGCAACATTTACAGATTTTGCCAAAATCAGTTTAAACGCATTCTCTTTTTAATTGGACCCTCTTAAACTTAGGTTCTGACACGAAGCCCTTAGAAAAAAATAAAAATATAGTATGTTTTCTAACTAATATCACAGACTTGCTGTCTCCAAGTGGACTTTGCAGGCTTGTTTTATTGGAAATGTTTATTTTAGGAATCACTGACGGATTGTCTGTAGGCTGTGCATATAACAGAAATTAGTGCTAGTTTTAAATTTTGAGGATGTTCTAATGATTTCTCTGGAAATGTTGGTTCGTAATGCCACTTGTCATCAGACCTGTTAGTAGTCTAAGGCTGGGGTCAGTCAAAAAACTAGGGCTCCAGGCCAAATCTAAACTACCGCTATTTTTTTCCTTATAAAGAAAGTTTTATAAAACACAGTTAATCCATTCATTGATGTATTGTCTATGGCTGCTCTCATATTACAAGTACCAAGTTTAGTAATTGCTACAGAGACCTGTGGCCCAAAAGCCTAAAATATTCACTATCTGATCCTTTATAGAAAAAGTTGATCGATTTCTGGCTATGTCACATTTTGAAATGGGATACATAAGGACTCTCCAAATTGTACAAACACCCTGTATGTTTTCAGAAAACTGACTTCTGGATTATTGGGAACTTTCCAAAAGGCCATCCTGAGAAAGCTTTAGAGTTCACACTAGCCTTTGGCCAGGTAGAATGGAAGGAAGGAGAGGAGGGAGGAGAGGGGAGAGAGGGAGGCAGAGAAGAGGTGGGAGGGAAGGAGGGAGTGACAAATATTCTTTGTTTCAATGAACTTTAGTCAGGCTCTCAAAACTTTTTTGACTTCCATCTGTGTACTTCCTTGGAATCCTGCTGTCAGTTTAACAAGAACCCCTTATCCTCCATATCTGATCACCTTTGGATATTTAATCAGGTTCCTTATCCTCCACCGTCCCCCAGGTGATGATGAATCATTCTAGCCTCTCTTCATCAAATATCCTGCTAGGTCACTTTAGACAGAATCCCCTCTACCCCAGATGTTTATTTTTAGTAATTTTTCATCCACTGACCCTCATGCTTCTCCTTGGCAATAAATTCCCACTTCCCCATGCCATATTCAGAGTTGAGCCCAGTTCTATACTGAGATCTCACTTCCTTTATTGCAATGGGCCTGAATACAATTTTACTTTCACTGCTTTAACTACTGTAGAGGTCTGGTTTTCTTTGTCAGGTGAGAGGAAGAGAGGGGGAAGGAGGATAAAGGGATGAAAGTTTCACCTTTCCCTGAAGGGAGGAAACAAGTTGAATGCCTAATGACTAATCAATAGTTCACAAAATAGCTTCCAGTATTTTCCTGCCTTGTGGTATTACTGTTAGAGGCAAAAGTTTTCAGACATTGAAACTTGGAATATCATGAATTGAGTTGAATGTTTGGTAAAGTGAGATTGTGAGAGTAATGATGATGTTTATTTCCCAGATCTAAATCTTCTCTCTAGGTACTTCTCACCACCACCACCACCACTACCAAATGCACCATCATGTATGAATGCATTTCTCTTTAGGGAAAGCCCCTTGAGAATGAAGCACAAACCATCATTAAGAAATATTGAACTCTAAAATAATTTTATGTGCTTAATATTAATGTAGATTTACCGTGAAGCTACTAAGGCTTAAGCTTCAAGGACCCTCCATAGGAATGGGATCCTTCCAAGACCCTGGGAGCAGCACTAGCAGTGTGTTCACATAGTCATGTGCATTTGTAACAATTATAGAAGGAGCTAGTTGAACTGTAATCTGTTAATATCACTCTTCATTTTCATACCAACTCCTTCAGTCATGCATCTTCATATGTATATTGGCATTCATTGGCTGTGAGCATTTTCAGGATGCGCCCAAGAAAAAGTTGAGCTGAGGTTACATTCAGTTTGGCATAGAGAATGTATTCATGTGGTTTGTAGTCACATTAGCATATTGTTAAATTTTTAACCAGCTGTCTGGTGGAGGGATTGCTTCTAGGAAATCTTTTCCCATGCTCTGTGCTGACTCACCTATCATCCTGTCTGCAATGTCAGGTCATGATGTTAAACTTGCCCTAAAGAACTTGGAAATATGTGGCTAGTGAAGGAGGAATGAAGTTTGAACTATACAGCGCCAGAGTTAGTCTACTGAAAATTCTCCCAATCATCAGACTTGAGAAGTGATAAACCAAGCACTCAATTCTCACTCTAATATTCACATATGGTCAACATATAAATTCTCTTAAGAAAATTCAGTATAAAAATAATCAAAACTTGTTTTCTTTTTTGATGGCAATCTGGGAAATGAAATTGATCACAAAGCTCATACTTATTAAGCTCAACCATGAAATAGTACTACCATGAGCAAGTGTGTCTATAAGTCAATATGTGTGTCTTACACAGCCCAACTCCTTGAAAAAAGTTGACTAACCACAGTAATGACTGATTTATCTATTTCCTCTATGGAGAAAATTATATGACAAAATTTTTATTATATGGCAAAGCCATCAAGGAGTTTACAGAAAACAATTTAGAAAAAAATCATTATAGAGGTAAAACATGCAGTCAGTTAATTAAGAAAAGTTTCATGACACAAGAGGATTTTGTGATGCTTGTGATTTTCTCAGCTTTTTAAAATTTGTAATTTGTTATAATGTTTTTCTCATTCTAAATACTCATGTTCACACCTAACTTTATTTTATAAACAAAAATAGTATTTTATAAACAAAAATAAACAAAAGTTGCACCATTTGTCTTTCAAACACCACCCACCAAAGTTTGTAAAAACTTTAGGGTCCACAAAGCTTAGATCTGACTTAAACATAAGGAGTTCTTTACAACTACTTCAAGCCTCATCATTAGAACTCGTCACTAGCTGCAAAGACAAGCTCCTTCAAACAGCCAAAGCAGTGGAAGTAATAAAGCTGAATCTTTAAATATAATCAGAATATTTTCTAGGACTGCAAAATAGTTCCAAATATTCTATATATAAAATCAATGGGTAAAACATTATTTCATTCATACTTGCTATGCAGTACTAAAGATAAAAACCATTTTAGCAAAATGTATCATAAAATATTTGCTCCAAATACAGTTGATTTTTATTTTGTGTCCTTACACAATGTTTAACATTTACCATCTAGTAACAGAAAGTATAATTGTATGCAAACTTTCAAAACGATTAATTTCTAATATCGTATAACTTTCATTAAATGCACAGTAAAATATTGATCACAGTGTTCTTAAGACATATATATTCCTGTTTCTATATTTTGTCTATATTCAATCATTCCCAGGAGCTAAACACAAAACACATGAGCATGCAGAGAAACCAAAAATAATACCTTTTTTAATACTTGTTGCATCCTAAATAATCTCATTTAAGCATTATATTGCATTTTTATCATTTAAGTAATAATAAATACATCTTAGTTTATTTTGATTTACAACACCAAAAGAAGACTTAAATTTTATTAAATTTTTAGAATTTTATCTAAACTATTTTAAAAACTCAGTTACGTAAGACGTTATATAATTTATTTCTGTACTTTTAAACATAATCTTTCTCCAAAAACATTTTAATGTGCTTACTTGTAATATAAGATTTTTCAGACAGAAAGTAAATAATTTTCTTACTAACTTAGCTATAAGCTATGTGTTTAAATAGCTTAGATATTTTTCATAAATAGAAAGAGCTAAATTTATAGCCCAAGGTTTTGAAAAAGTTATTTTCAAACTTTCCACAGTTGGATTTCTCCAGAAGCTGGTAAAATCTAGGATGCAAAATGTTTTACTTTTATTCAATAAAAGTGGAAAACAGGTGGTGGAAA